AATCAAAACAGTTTTATGTCAAGATATGATTTTAAAGGAGAACACCTTTCTACATCCTAGGTGCTCAAGTAAAATAAAATAGAAGAACTTTTAAAGCATTCAATGTGCTCTTCATTAAATTAAAAAAAAACAATAACAACAGCTATTTGGTTAAAGCAGAACTATACAGAATTTCTGTTTTTCAAAGAAAGAAACAGAAGCCACTAGCAACTATAAACCTCGAAATCTTCATTTTATTATAGTTGTAGTTTCTATAATAAAACTATGTAAATGCATCTTTATTAAAAGCCAGATGAATGGGGCACAGGGGTTTTAAAAAACTTGTTATTATTTGTGTGCTCAGGTAATACCAAAAACAAGATTTAAATTCAGTGTTCCATTTAAAGTATAATTTAAAGAATTCACTAAACTTTCAATTTCCATTCCCGTATTTATTTTGTAAACTTATCTTTAAAAAAAGAAGAGTACATAAATATAATAAATACCAATTTCCAGTCTGAATAAGTAAACATGTAGTTTTTTCCCTTTCCCAGTGAAACATTTAGATGCACCTAAACAATGTGGGCATTAAAACATGAAGGTGAAAGGAATACTGAAAGCAAAGGGACAATTCTTCCATGATATGGGCCATGGAAGAGAGGCTGTGATATGTCTGAACCTTCAAAAGATTTATTAAACAGTTTTCGGGAAAAAGCTGCACCTCTCTCTGGGGTCACCCGCACTTTCTAAGTGTGTAACCTTTTAATGTTAAACTTTCTCTTTTCAACCTTTCAAGGTGCCTCTCCTCCTTAAGGTCTCCTACTGCATTTTTTTCTCTCTTTAAGTAACTTTAAATAAAACTTTTACTGTGCTTCAAAAAAAGAAAAGCTGTGATAAGTTTTCTTACAAGGATGGTGGGCTGAAATGTTGATCTTTCCTCTTTTGAAACAGCTTTGATGACTCCACTCCCACATGATTAGCTTGTCTTGCCATAATAGAGAGGGATATGGAAGGCACATTTTTTAAGAATATGAAGAAACTCAAAGTAGTTATTAGAGTATTATTTTAAAGGGGCAATGTGTCATTAAAACTGGATTCTGTTTTCTTCGTGAGTTTCATGAAGGTTCTTAAAATGTGCATCACAATAAAGTGAGGTGTGCTGACAAGCTATGGATCCTACTTTGTAAAGGAGCAAATCTACTTGTGTTACTAAGTAAATCGGTAAAACTTCAGATTTTACTAAGCATGTTCTTATACTGAGTAATAAGCTAAAATATTTACTTGTGAAAAGGCTGTATATTGTAACATAATGAAGAAAAATGAGGAACAAAAAAGCAAACTTATTGCTGGCTGCAAGACATGTGGAAGACGCCATGCTTGCACATTTAGTGGGATCTCTTTTTATAAATGAAGATGCTCCCAATGAAACAAAGTGGTGGAAAACAAGGCTCTTGAGTGAGACCCTCAGTGATGGAATCCTATTTCTACCATGTTTATGGCTTAGGTTCTCCTGGGCAACTAACGTTCTCTGTGCCTTATTTTCTTTATCAGCAAAATGGGGATAATCATAATAATGCCTACCATATATGAATACTATGAAAATGAAACATATACAGTGCTTTACACAGTATTTAGGGCACCATTACTATTTAATGACTGTTAGCTAATATGGAGATTAGTAAATTGATACAACTCCCTGTAGTCTTAAAAAATGGAAAGGGTAGCATACAAAGTCTTCAAAATAATCAATAAATAGTTGCTAGGTTAAGTTTTGCAAAAATCATTAAAGAATTTAAAAACTTTATTACTCATTTCATTAACAAAAAAGATTAGCTTTCTCCTAAATTATTAGAAGGCATATGAAGATAAAGACGAAGCAATCTGGGTGTACGTAAGAACATAATAAACTTTGAAATACTTCCCCTATTGTTAAGCTGAACCAGATTTTTTTTCTTTTTAATGATAAGGATGATTTAATGAAGAAGGAGAAGAAAATGATTACATACTTTTAAATTTTGAGGCAACATTGATTACTGTCTTACTGGGAAATAAAACTTTAATCTTTAAAAACAATGTTGTCTTCTAGATACTTTCATCTTTATAGGACAGAAATCTCTTTTTCTTCAGCTTTATTGAAATATAATTGACATATAACATTGTTGAAGTTTAAGTGTACCACATAATGATTTGAAACATATATATATTACAATCACAATAAGATTAGTTTGTTAATACATCACCTCACATAGTTACAATTATTTTTTGCTAGTGAGGATTTTAAAAATTTGCTCTTTCAGCAACTTCAAATATATAAGAGAGTACTGTTAACTATAGTCAGCCAGAAAGTATACTGTTGGGGCAGAGATGGGAAATGCAGCATTGAAATCATACCTTGGCATATTTTTTTAAATGTCAAAACAAATATTTTAAATTATATTAGAGATATCTGATTACTGGACCACCTAGAATTTTCCACAAGAATAGACTGAGGGGGAGGAAAGAAAAGTACATATTTTAAAAAATAAGTTGAGGTAGATAATAGATAAAAGGTATTATGAGGAGTTATTCAAGAATTTCCTATATTAGGAGATAATAGAAACTAATACCACATCCAGGGGAATGATTTACTTGACTCTTTCCAAAGGCATTATCGACTAGGTTAATTTAGAATTTCCTTGCTGTATGCTGAGGCAGGTACTTCTGCATAATTTTGCATATACAGGGTACTATATCTTCATAATAACCCTGAAAATTGGTTGATAATTTGCATATTGGAAAACTAAACTTTATAAAGACTAAATAATTTGCATAAGGCCATGTAGCCTTAATTTTTTTTACTGATGATGATAAAATCTTGTTATTTTTTTTATTTTTAAAAGCAATTTTTATTTAAACTAAAAAAAAAGTAAGCAAACAGTTCACCCATTTCTTCCCATCATGACCACTCCCTGCATTTTGTAACCACCAATCTGTTTTTGTATCTATGAGCTTGGTTTTGTCTTGTCTTTTTTTTGTCTTTGTTTTTGTTTTTCTCTGACTTATTTCACTTGGCATTCTGCCCTCAAGGTCCATCTATGTTGCTGTGACAAGATTTTAATTTTTTCTGGCTGAATATTATTTCATTGTATACCACAATTGTTTATCCTTTCATCTATTGATGGGCACTTAGGTTGTTTCCATAACTTGGTTATTATAAATAATGCTATAATGAATATGGGGGTACAGATATCTTTTCAGATTAGTATTTTATTTTTCTTTGATTAAATATCCAAAAGAGGAATTGCTAAATCACATGGTAGTTTTATTTTTAATTTTTTGAAGGATCTCCATACTGCTCTCCATGGTGCTTGTACTACTTCCCATTCCCGGCAATAGTGCACAAAGGTTCCTTTTTTCCTACATCCTTATCAGATGTGAGGTGATATATTATTCTAGTTTTGATTTGCATTTCCCTGGTGATTAGTGATGTCGAACATTTTTCATGTACTTGTTGGCCGTCTGTACATCTTCTTTGGAAAATGTCTTTTCAGATCTTCTACCCATTTTTTAAATGGGATTTTTTTTTTTACTATCAAGTTGTATGAGTTCCTTATATATTTTGGATATTAACCCCACATGGACTTTAATTTGAAAAGATAGACAAAGAATTTAAGCATTAAATTCTTTGATCAGAGTTACTGCTTTTAGCATAAACTGAATTTATCAGGTCTTAGACCACTATTTCAATGTTTCTAAGCACTTAATTATCCTATACTAGTGCTACGCAAAGTAGCCACTCCACAGTGAGGTAAGGTGCCTGTAGTAGAATGTAAATCAATACATTTCTTTTTGCAAGAAATTCACACATACTCACACACAAGACTTACACACATATATATTTATACACATATACATATATTTGTAAATGTATATATACATAAGCATATGTGTGTATATATATATACACATTTAATTAATTCTAAGATAATATATGTATATCTTATATAATATCATGTATAATATGCATTACATACACACACACACACACATATACTCAGTTGAATTAAAGTGTGCTTAATGGTATAGATTAGGCATTAGCAAACTATGGTCAACTAGCTAGTTTCCTGTTTTTGTAAATAAAGAGTTTTATTTACAAATAAAAACACTTCCACATGTATTCATTTATATATTATTTATATCTGCTTTAGCATTATAAGACACTGTAGTTGTGATAAAAAGTATATGGCCCATGAAGCTTCAAATATTTACTATGTGGCCCTTTAGGAAATTTAGTGTTGGAGTGAAGAACCTCAAGATCATTGTCCTTCAGGGATGCAAGGGGCAATAGGGGGAAAAGATTTCTCCAGTGGTGTAATTGCCCAGATCTTACCCTCTTGAGCCTGAACTTTCCTGGTTGCCAAAGGCTGCTGCCCTCATACAGGATAAGGAGAGGGCTCTGGACTTTTACTATTCTACAGGCCCAAAATACCTACTGTAAGCATTCTCGAGGGTCAGCATAAAGATGCTCCCATTAACAAACATTTCACTTGGAATCCAGAGAAACGAGAGAATGGGCCTGACTGTAAAAGGAATCCCATTCTTCTCTGTTCAAAGCTTCTTAAGTTGCTTTGAGGACCCACACACAGACAGAAGACAGTTTGATTCTTTCCTAATGTTCTTTTATCCTAGGGCAACTAATCATTTTCATTTCACATTTAAAGAAAATATAAATAACAATGAAGCTTATGCAAATCACTCTAACTATTCCAGTTCAATTAATAACTAGGAAAAAAAAACACTTTTGTTTCTCCAGAATAAAATTTATAAGAGTTGGACTGCTTTTGCAGTAGCAAATGAAATTGAAGAAAGTTTTCAAAATATTATCCAGTTTTCTTTTTCACTGAATAGATTATTCAATTAGATTGGTTCAAACAATCAACTATTTGAAATCCCTTAATGGACATATTTTAGGCCTATAAAGCACATGCTTTCCAAGCGTTCATTGTTTAAGTCTATAATCAAGAAATTCTCAGTTAACTTACATGTCTCTGGGATCCATCATATTCACACCTTTCAATTTTTCCTAGGCTGCCATCTGAGAAGTAGAGCTTCTCTGCATGGTGGTCAATGGTGAGTCCATTTGGAGTGAGTATGTCTGTACTGACCACCACTTGAGCGTTTTTCCCAGTCAAGGTAGATCTCATGATACTTGGATGCTGTTCATTCCAGTTGGTCCAAAACATTAAGCTAATTACAATGAAAATTGTGATAATAAATTAAAATTTTCATTAACAGTATTAACATGGCAACATCAAGCTATTTTAAAAAAAGTAAATTATTTGTCTTGTATTCTATGAACCTTAAGTCCAGGTAATAAGGGGAGATAGGTATATCATATTTGCATGTATATTTTTCCCCATTTCTTAAATGAAACCTGGAACCTTTTTCTGAAGACAATTATCCTGTGCATTCTCTCAAATAATTTAATTAAATTGAGTCAGTTTGATACATAGGGAGGATTTATTTTAGTCAGGGACAAAACTGTTCTCTTAAATTTTCTATGAATTGCAAATATTCTATGACATAATGCAGATCAAGCATGATCGTTGTGGATACTGTCTTATCCTAACTACATTTCTCTTCTTCAATTAGTAAAATCAGAATCTCCCTCTCTTGGAGGTTTGTTCTTTAAATTCTGCATCTCCTTTGTATACATTTCAGAGAAATACAATTACTAAATATCTACATTTCTTTAATTTCTTTGATTTTTCTTCTCCTTTCTGTCAGTGTAATTTTACTGTGA